TTACATGCACATACCCCACACATACAGAGCTGGGAATAAATCCCTTTGAACTCAGTAAGATATAGTTCTATGTTTTGTATAATAGGGTACAATCAAGCAAATTGAAGTTGATTGCTTTATAAGAGGATCAGAATAAATCACAGATACCGGGTTTTTTTTGCACATGAATATTTAAACCATCAATTAACTGCTTAGAATGTTAATGTTTGTGCATATTCCATTTTATCAGATCCTATTAAAACCCTATAAACTAATTTTCTATTTTATTGGGTTGCTCACCCAAGCGTTTTTCTTGTATAAATCTGTCTTATATGTTTTTTTTCCTTGTTTCTATTCTAAGGAAACTGAAACCCCTTTACGTGCTGAGTCCCCATTCACTATATCATCCTTCAGTAAGTCTCATTCCTTTCTAGCGTAATAATCTTTTTTTTCTCGTCACTTCAACAAGCTGAATCTCTGGGTCATCCTCCTAAGGAAGAGAAATGATAGAGATTTCAGCAAGTGAGAACATCTCTACAAAGGTGAAAGCAACCCACCCTTTGCAAATTCTGAAATAGGATACAAGGGTTACAAGGTCAACCTTTTTTAAATCTTGCCAAGGGAAATGATACTCCTGCTAAGTCCCTGATGACCTGGGGACCTTAATTGCTCTTTTCAAAAGAGTCTTTCCCTCGTAAGCATACTTTTCAATCTAACCTTGAATGTATGCTATGATTCCATCTCTTTCCCTTGACCTAGCAATTACCAAAAAGCCTGAAAAACCATCCAGCATGTTCTTAAGGAAGATCATATTGTTGGGCATGTATAGGTGGTAGTCTAATTCATTGAAGGAAGGGCAATATTTTAGCAACGTATTAGTTGTTCGTCTCTATTATAAAGCCATTTCCACAGTCCTGCTTAGGGTTTAGTCCAGCGGTGTAATCCTCTGAAGTCTGTTACCGGTTCGGTGAGTCTGCTACCGAGTGTATGCGCATGTGTGGTTGAGGCGTGCCCACGCAGCGCTAAAAAAGGAACTTTTTGAAACCTTCAAAGTCTGCAAAGGTAAGTA